GGGGTGCCGAGGAACGTGCGGCCAGGCCGGGGAGAGGAGGAAGAGGAAGGGAGGAAGTCGGGGGAATCGTTTGGGGGAAGCGGAGAGAGGATGTCGGTCGCGGAGGGAAGCGCGGCGGTGGGGATGAGGGAGCTCCGTGCCTGTAGCGGGGGGAGCGGGCGGCCCGGCGAGGCTTGGGCACGTCCGTCCCTCCGCAGGCTCCTCAGTCTTGCTTCTGCCGCACCATTAATTAATTACCACACGTTTAAAGAGGGAGGGAGGGTGGCGTTTGTAGCTTGGTTTCAGGTATTATTTCAGCAGTTAATTTAGGCTACCTGCGTGCGTCGTGTTTTCCAGGAGATACATTTAGAAACCGGGGTTATGGCTCCAAGGAAGGGGAAGGTCCAATAGTCTATATCGGAGAGAAGAAGAAGAAAATGTTTGTCGAAGTTGTTATTTCTATGTATTTTCAAGTAGTGTTTAAAATAAGATGCAGTTATGAGGTCTGGGTTGTTTTGGTCATACTGAGGGACCTCTTGTGCATGTTACGCAGGGGTTTTAGTGTGGAGCAGAGGCTAGGCCTCAGTGAGCTGACTCAGTTCTGGTGTGAAACAGCTGTAATTGGAAAAAAAACCTGTGAATTCGGAAGTGTACGCTTAGTAGTAAAATTTTTTAAATGCAGATTTGAAGGAAGACACTGAACATAAAGGGAGAGTGACTGGGACCATAGCAGCACCTGCAGCACTGAGGAACCTGCCGGGGCTCCAGGAGAGATCTCTTAACAGGATAATTTGGACTTCAGCTCTTGGGGATTGTCTTGGACTTCCAGATTTCAGGCTGAAAGTTACATAGATACATAGAAACCATTTGTCATCAGATGAGTTACTTTCATAAGAGGCATAATTTCAGAAAACAGAAACACAATGAGATCCCTTGGATTTTCTTTGTTTTCTTTAGTTTTGGTGGCTGAAAAATAGTTCAGATACTTGTAAATAAAAATGTACAGGTGTTTAGTGATGGCTGTAAGGTCATCTCTGCATGTAGTTTAAAATGAAAGTTCAGCTGTCGCAGTTTCTAACAGTAGCTGTCACGACTTGTGGACAATCTATAACACAAACTCACTGGTAAAAAATACAAAAAGCTCACGTCCCTGTTATTATGTTACGTTTACTTCATAAGACATTTGAAATGAACAAGTACTTTGAAATTTTTTAAAAATATTTTCAGTTCATATTCAAATACCAACAAAGAAGAGCCGCTAAGTCTTCTGTGAGGTTTGTACTGCTCTTTGTAGGCCCCACCGCTGTGCACGTGCTTGCCCCTTCTGCCACGAGCAGTTTCACCAAAATAAATGGAACTCTCCTTGGTGGTGAAGTTAAATGTGTGCATAATTGTTGGTATAATAAGGCCTTAATGAGTAGCCAAATACAGAAATAGGCTTACTCAGAAATTTAGACGTAATACTTCATTTTGGTTCACTGGTGGTGTATCTGATGCAGAGAACCTGGGTATGTCCATACCACGCTGTACGTGTGTATAGCAAAAGCAACAACTGTCTCCCCCTGTTCTTGGCCTAAGTGAAGTAAAGATTTCAGCTTCCAACGCTTAAAAGATGTGATTTAGAGTTACAGCTGAGATTTTGTTATTAATTATTCTGAATGGAAATATGACTACAGCATATACTGCTATTCCTGAATAATTCTTAGTTGTGAAGAGGCCCACTCCCTATCTGAGCCTGAGATATTCATTCCTGGTTAGTTTTGCCGCCTGCCTTTATTGCAGCGTGCCTGAAGAGACGGAGTGCGTATGTTATAAAGTAGTAGTTTAGGGGAGGAATGGCACTTGCGTAAAGAGTTGTAAATGAAACTGCTCTCTAAATGCTCAGAAAACATCAGTGATCAAGGAAGGAGTAAGGCTCTGGTACTGAGGTGGCAAAAGATGCAAGCAGGTTTTATGGATAGAAGAGCAGGACTATTAGGAATTCATGAGGGAGAAGGAAAGGAAAGGAGAAAGCAGAGGGGAATGCATCTGTGAGAAAATGAACTTTGAAATATAACTGCTAAAATACAATTTGAACACGAGACTCAAAATGGAGGCTTGTGCTGTCAGTGTGTGCTGGCAGAGGCCTGGCATCCTGTAAATACAAACTGTACCTCTGTGCCCACTCTGACATGGACGTGGGCTAATGAGAGGAATAAACAAGTAGCCAGGAGATGCGAAAGGGGAATCTTTCTAAATTTTGCCAGGTTATGGTGCTGCTCTTTCAAAGATAGGTTTGCTTTATATAGAAAGCTACTGATCTGGCCGCGTGGAGCAGCTCAATTAAATGCTGCTGTTTGAGTCTTTAGGCGTGCATGGAAAAACGGGTGCTATAGGCAGATGGGTCGCCCTGTGCACTGGCATCCGTGCAGCACAGCAGAAATAGCAGACAGCTACTTACGGAAGCTGGAGTAAAGCAGAGTGGGGTTTTTCGTGCTGCAGGTATATAAGGAAATCAGGGGAGAGCTGCGGGGGGGGGCAGTTTGGAGCTTGCAGCCGCAAGAGGTGGTCTTTGCATCTCGTCGTGCGTGTGCTTGATTTGGAGCGTGTAGAGAGGGTGGGAGGTTGCTTACAAGACACAGATTGGAGAAGGAGGTTTCTGTAGCTTTGAGGGTGGAGGCTTAAAGGGGATGCCTTCCTTTTTCAGATGTGAGTATCCATGTCTTTTATTTCTTGTGACTGAAGTTACAGTCTTTTGACCAAGTGATGATAAGCACAGCCAAACTTAAAATTTTTTAAGAATCCAACAAAAATGCTTCGGTTTAGTATGGACTTAGTCTTTCCATCAGATAGTAGTGACAAGGCAAGCAGATTTTGATGTTCCCTATTGTGTTCTCTATAAAATGTTGAAGTTGTCCTTTTTCCTTCCAAACCCTGCAATCTGCTTTTAGCATTGACACTGGAAAAATGGACAGTGAAATGATCCCAGATTCAGATCTGACACATGACTTGAGCTGGGCATTTATTTTTAGTTACAACTGAAGTTTCCAGAAGCAATTATTTCTTTTTCTTTCACTTTTCACTCTTGTACTGAGAAAACCAACTTTCTTGATTTCTACCCTGAAGAAAAGATGCTGGTGTGTCCCTTCATCACTCATGCTTCCTTCTGAAATTGATTTACTTTCATTTTCTAGGTGCTGGTGAATCCGGTAAAAGCACAATAGTCAAACAGATGAGGATCTTGCATGTGAATGGATTTAATGCTGAGTAAGTGCATTTGTTTCTTCACTTTACAACCTACCTGATGTCTGTGCACGGCACAGTAGTTACTGCTGTTGTTTTATATCTTGGAATATTTTCTTCTTGCTACTGTTTCACAGTCTCTGGAATTTGGATGTGTATTTTTAGATGAGATTAATAGACATTAACTTGAAGAAGTCATGCACCAATAATGAGTAAGAGCTAACGTTATAAAATGATTTATGTCAAGGGTCAGTATAGCTGATTTGATTAAGGCTTGAGTTTTGTGGTTGTTTTTTTCTTAACTGCAGTTTCTTTCACAACATGGCTGACACTGATTTACCTCTGCTGTAGCACATTGATTCACACTGCTGTAAACGTGTCTCCTGTTAGTGTACCAAATGAATGCGATTTTCTTTCTTTAGAGTAAGTAAGGCTTTTGTTTCTGTCTCCTCACAAAATGAGGCTGTACTATGAATTTTGGGGGGTAATAGGTCATATTTTCTTCTCTCTTCTCTTGTGTTTGCTTGTCCTGAGGTCTGTGTTATATTGTGTTTCTAGAAGATTTTCTTGTTTACACTTAAATCTGTTCTGTTATTTGTTATTTGTGAGGAGGGGAATGACATTAGGATAAGGAAAATGGAAATCTATTATTTTGTCTTTTGAGAAACATTTGTGTGCTAACTTTTCATCTAACCTTGCAAGGGAGTAGGAAGAGATTCTTCTGCATGTTAGTTTAAGCTTGCAAGGGAGTCTGTGTGTGTGTGTGTATACCAAAACCTGCTAGATTAATTCTAATTGTATTAAGGTGTTGGAATTTCAGAACCTCTTCTCGATGTTTAATTTCTTTAGATTATGTTACTGGTTTTGTCTGTCTTATTTTGAAACATAATATTTTTGTATTGGCATCCTCTAGCTTCTGGTAGTATCATCTGTCTTGTGAATCCTGCCTTTCTGGGAAGATGAAGCTTTCACTAGTCTTTCAGTAGTTAATTCTTTGGTAAGAATGTCTGAGCTAGAAGTTTAGCCAAGGAGCCTGGACAATGCTTCTTCCTAATCCCCAACTGCTAGTTCAGAATAAGGCACACAGTCTTTTGGATTACATTCTGTGCTACATGTTTTTAGCTCCTTTTTATAGGGAATATTTTCTTTATCTAAGACAACTGATTTTCATTAGCGCCCAGTACTGCATCCCGTTACTGCTGAGTTGTCTCCATTATTTTGGCCACTCTTGTTACTAAAGACCTCTTAAAAGACTTACATGACTTAAAAGATTTGCATAAGTTGACTTTGATGTCGTAGCTCTCAACATCAGGTGCTAAGTAAAAAGTTCATTAATGAAAGTGGAAGTCAAGGATCCCTGGCACCTCTGGAAGTATCAATCCATTTATCCAACACAGGTCTGCTAAGTTTTCTAAGCATACAGATGCTCTTAAACAGATGCTGTGTAATGAATGGTGTATTACCTAGGTAGATAACCTTCTCAACCCTACAAGCTGCATACCCAAATTCGTGTGAAACTGAGAGCCCAGAGACCCATCATCCAAAAACTGCAAAGCTGAGGAGGGACTGGGACACACTCTGGGGTTTACAACAGCGCTGTGTTCCTCGAGTGTCTCACTTCTGTGTTGGAGGTTGGGGCTGAGCTGAGTGTGCAGCTGAATTTCAGGGCAAATTTGGGCTCCAGAGCCTCTGTTGGCATCTGCCTTCTCCTAGCAAGGGATCTGGATTAGCCAGCAGCCCTGTGCCAGCACAGCCCCGCTGCCGGTCACACGGCGTACCCCAGTGTGGAGCCACGCTTCAATTGCTGGGGAGCTGCGTGCAACTCGGGAGCAGTAAGTTGTCCAGCCCGTGGCACACTGCCTTGCAGGCAGGCAGTCCTTTGTGCTTGTCCTTTTGTATGTACTGGAATATTCAGGTGCATAAAAAGCAAATTAAAAAGTGATGTATAAAAAATGTACAAGAAATAAAATGCATTTGGTTTTAGGTTTTTGTTACCAAAAATAATCAGTTGATCATAACATACACTTTACCCGGGGGAGAAAGCTGTTTTTCAGTCTTTTGAAGTTCTTGCAAGTTACACATTAGTCCTTAAGTAACTTGTGTTTTCTTCAAAGTATCTAATTGCTCCCTATGTTGTGCTGCTTTCCCTGCTATCCTTTTTGCCCAGTTGATTCCCTTTCTGCCCTACTTACCTTGTGGAAAAATGATGTGGGATTCAGATAATGAGATATAGCATGGGAGTTTTTTTGGGAGAGTAGGAAAAATAAAGCATCACTCAATGTTGTTATCAGTTGTTCTAGGACATAAATTTGTTTGCATACAACACCGCAGTTGATGCGATGAATAACAGCAGAGAGGTGGTGAAAACTGTAGTATGCTGGAGATGAAGAGACTTTTAATGTTAGCGTCCATCTACGTAACTGTAGTTTTGAATTATTTCTGTTGATGCAGCTTATTCATGTGACTTGAAAGAAATCCAGTTTAAAGTCCTGTCTAAAACTTGTTTGCCTTTGATTTGTACGCCCTGCGATAGATGATAGCTGAAGGAGAAAGAGGATACCTGTTACGAAAGATGTCCAACGTGCTACAGACAAGGGAATCAAAAGCTTTTCTTTAGTGTTACTGCAGTACTCAATTTCTGGTGACTAAACAGGATATCCAGTGCTAAATGCACTAGCTTCCCTCAGTGAATGTGAGGATTTTTCATTTGTTTTGCGTGTAGGAGAGTTGTCGTGTATTTAGGTGAATTGGCCTCGCTTAGAGTTATAGCATGTAATGAGGTGAAATCTATGTGGTTCTACAAAACTAGAAGAATTTCCTCTGGGACTCCAGTCCTGATCGCTTTAGCTAATTAATTATTTGAAGAACTGTATGGAATCAAGTGTTTCAGGTAATTAATGTGCTTAATAGTTAACAATGCTAAGGTGGATTTGAAGGTGGTTAAAGTTCTAGCCAAGTTAACTACAGTAAAGACTCTTAAATATTTTTTCAGTATTCCTTTTATAATCTGTAGTTGAGTTAGAGATAGAAATATATGTATTTTGTTGTTGTTGTTCCTGTTGTGAAGGTGGTGTGTGGGAAGTAACAGTGCTGCGGCATTGGTAAGCGGAGCAGAGTATTGGAGAAGCAAGGCATGGTGTACAGCACAGGATTTTCCGGATGGAGTTTTTGGAAGGGCTTAGCTCGCTTCCAGATCTTGCAGGATGGCTTCAGTTGACCGTGCATTCAACTGATGTCTTCCTACAGCAGTTCCATAAGTAACGGGAGCATGGCTTCCTGACAGGATTCTTCCAGTGTGCTTCATCTTTAATATGGAAGAGCTGCTTTTTAAGCATAATGAAGACTCCATATCAACTAAATTTTCTACTCTTGGGATTACTGCCAGCAGCAGAGCCCCTTGTGATGTAGAAGAGGTTTAAGTTTGGCTTGTAATAGCAGGAAGCCTGTGACTTCCCTCCCTCCTCAGCACTTCAACTGTCTTCTCACGAGGCTGTTCCAGAGGTGCAGGTCTCTGCATTTTGTGAGCATCCCTCTAAAACCTTCTCTTTTTGACTGTGCAGAAGTTCTGATGCCATTCTTTATGAACCAGAAAGGATTAAAAATAGGAAAGGGAGGACAAGAGGAGTAAGGAATGTAGTTGGGGGAATTAATGTAAATGTGTAGTTCAGGTTGAAGAGGAAAAAAGAGAACACTTCTGTGTTATTCTTGGGACTGGGGTTCTTTGCTTCTAAGATGATGGCCTTTCACTGACTTTTTTCTTTCTAAAAAAAGTCGTATTTCCCCTCTGCGATCACTGTGGCTTTGGCTGACAGACTCTAAGGAGGGGGTCACTGTCAGGCACGATTTTAGAAAGTGGGAAATTGGCAAGGGCGATAGGCAGTTTTGAAGTGTCATGGGAAAAAGTGGTATAAGCAGAAATATTTAGATAGAAATAAATTGTTGAAATGTGACTTATGAAATCCACTACCAGGATTGACAAATAAGGGGAATGTGTCCTTGTGATTAGTAAGCTTGGATAGTATTTATGATTCAGGAAGTCTTGAGGTTATAGGGAATTTCAGATAACTCTTCTCAGCCTCAGTTTCCCAAATTATGTTCTATAATGTTGACTTTATTTCTTAAACTAATATGCTGAAGTGTTGAATAGGTGTTTGTGTATTTATTATATTTGTTAATAATGATGGCAGAAGAAAATAAAGGTATTAGTTCTGCAAGACTTAGAAGACAAGTATATTTGCCTTTCTCTTGTACTTTTAAAATCTATTTTCTCTTAGTGGGGAAGTTAAGAAAGCCAAGCCAACCTCTTAAACATCTGGAAATTTTTCTCTTTTCTCACCTCAGTTTAGTAGTTTGTGAGGAAGGAAAAGTAGTCACTGATGCTTTCTAGCCTTTTCTTTATACGTCTTGTCCACCAAAAGTTGAACTGCAGTACCACCGTTACTTTACATAAAGCAGTAAATGGTGTTAGCCACGTTGGTCAGTGACAGTCTCTCTTTTTACTGAAATAACTCCTGTCTTCATAACTTTACCCTTCTGCCATCTGATGCTGTGCTTTGTTTTTCTAACTTTGGTCTTTTTATGCGTGTGATTTTACGGAAGGGAAGTTAATGTTATGAGTGAGGAAAAAGTGTAATGTTGATAACCAAGTGTTTTAAAATAGCAAATTCTGTCCTAATGGCTGATACTGGTTTGTGTACAGAGATGTTACTGCTCTGCTGCTACAGTTCCTTTAGATTTGTGTACCAATGCCATGTTTTTAGAATGGTCGCATCAGTTCCTTGCCAAGAAACAAACTGACTTTATTGTATTTTACTCTATTGGCAACAAAATTAACTTTTTCCTGTTTTTTGAGTAATGTTGACAGTTGGGGGGGTGGGCTTGGTGTGTGCTGGCTTCCCCCCTCCGCCCCCCACTTCTTTCTTTCTTTGCATCAATCATCACAAGGCTTCTGCAGACTTGAGGCGGAGAGCGCTTGTTTTTTCTCGGCTCTTGTTCTGGGCCACAGACGAGGTGTTAGCGTGCTG